TGAGGGAGAAGATATTTACGCTCGTCTTTATCTGGAAGAAGTATCAGAATGAGTCTACACTCGATCTAAACTGAGCCATAAGATGTTTTATGCTCGACCTTAACTCGAAGAAGTATCAGAATAAATCTATGCTCGATTTAATCTGAGCCAGAAAATGTCTTCAATTGGAAGAAGTATCATAATAGATCTACACTCGATCTAATATGAGCCAAAAGATGCATATGTTCGACTTCAACTGAAAGAAGTATCAGAATAAATCTACGCCTGATTTAATCTGAGCCAGAAGATGTTTTATGCTCGACTTTTACTGGAAGAAGTATCAGAATAAATCTATGCTCGATTTAATCTAAGCCAGAAAATGTCTATGATGGTCTTCGACTATAATAAGTGTCAGAATAAGTCTACCCTCGATCTAATTTGATCTAGAAAATATTTTATGCTCAACCTTAATTGGAAGAAATATTAGAATAAATCTATGCTTGATTTAATCAGAGCCAGGAAATGTCTACGACTGTCTTCAACTGGAAGAAGTATCAAAATAAATCTAAGCTCAATCTAAACTGAGCCAGAAGATGTTTACGCTCATCTTCAACTGGAAGAAGTATCAAAATAAATATATGCTTGATTTAATCCGAGCCAGAAGATGTTTATGCTCGACTTTAACTGGAAGAAGTATCAGAATAAATCTATGCTTGATTTAACCTGAGCCAGGAAATGTCTACGACCATATTCAACTGGAAGAAGTACCAGAATAAATCTATGCTTCATCTAAACTGAGTCAAAAGATGTTCATGACCGTCTTCAACTGGAAGAAGTATCATAATAAATCTACGCTCGATTTAAACTGAGCCATAAGATATTGTCTTTAAGAATGACCTTCTGAGGCAATTGCTTAAGTAGCCATTTGTCAACTGTAGCCTTTGAGAAGATTGTCTGGTCATACAAGTAGTGAGATGTATGCAATGTCATGATGTATGAAATGTATTGCGTAATGATGTTCTCAAAGTAAATGAGACGATGCTATATGTGTTTCGTATGCACATGTTTATGACGTATGAATTTTAAGTGTATTTGTAAACTCGAGCAGCACCGTTGTCTGGGGAAAATAAATCCCTGACTGTTGTTAGGGATGAAGAGTATGTGTATCTTCAATCTTGTCTGGAATGTTTCCGTTGGGGACTCTTGCTCTCTGCTTGAGGAAACTCTGCTGGGGAACATTGATTTGGGGATAAGAGTCCAAAACATTGGTTGTTCATCCCTCTACTGGGGATTATAATTCTTGTATACCCTGACTGGGGATAAAAGAGATGGATATCCTTTCGAGGTACTATCTGACCGAGTTTCCCATATGGATGCCGACTCATCTGGAGAGAATAAGTTTGAACGATATTTGATCCAGTTTCAAATTCAGTAGCAACTCTCTAGGGGATAGAAACCCATATTATCCTTTGTTGGAGGTGGGGATCTTGTCGGTAACTTGTTGTAGAAGCAGACTCAAGCTGGGGAGATTGAACTCCGCTGGGAAAATAAACCCTGTTGGGGAAATAAACCCTATTGTCGAAGAAATACTCTACTGAGGAAACACCCTAGTTGAGGAAATAAGCTCTGCCGACGAGAAGAAATCTGCAGGGGTTTTCACAGACTTGGAGGAATAAACTCAGTTGGGGAGGAGAATTTCCATAAACTCTGTTGATTGAGATTCCATAGGTGGATGATATTGCTGGGAAAAAGGTCATATTCTTTTATCCGTTGGGGGAATTTTCTGGTGAGTATGATAAGACTACTTTGTGGGGATAATCCTATGGAAGTGACTTTATAAGGATTTGTGGGCAGCTTGAACGTTATCCCTACTCCTAGAGTCTTGAGTAAATGCTTATTCCTGTTTTTTATGCATATATTTGTTGACAGTTAACCGTATTCATATGCATATGCTCATTCAATTTTAGTTATTGGACGTTTTTGCAAACCAAACAGAAAAAATAAAAACAAAAAGTTTGAATTTTGATATTTGTATTTTTATTGATTGTTTGCCCATAAACAGGCGATTTTGTACAAAGAAACAGAGATCCTAATAAGGGGAAATTGTCGTGAAATGAAAAGAGTACAAAGTATAAACAAGATAATAGCTATGTGGGAATAATCTCGTCGGGTTCCAACTCTGCTATTGCCCCTATGTCTTCAAGTATCTCATCCCTTGCTGTCGGAAGAAGTTGATTGAACTGATTTGTACCATTTAAATTTTGACTTTGGTAATAAAGCTTGTTGTAAGTGATCAAAGGGGGCAAAGTCGTACACTTTAATCCCTAATTTTTTCCTGGACCCCCCTTTCGACTTTTCAGTCCACCGTGATACCCTTTTTTCCCAAGCCGCGTTTTCAGGTTTTCGACTTGCCGGGTGTACAATCTTTTATATATATCCCTAATTTTTGCCCGAACCCTTTTGGTTCGTCAGGATGCCCTTATTTTTTTCCTAGGCCAGTCAACCTAGCGGTTCATTTTCATGCGTAGTATCTTTTGACTATGTCTGTGTTCACAGGATGCGGAAAATCTTCGTCGTCCATGATGGTCAATATCATAGCACTGCCAGAGAATATTTTCTTGACAACAAATGGACCTTCTTAAATGGGAGTCCATTTTCCCCTAGGATCACTTTGCGGTAGAATGATGCGCTTTATTACCAAGTCACCATCCTGATATACTCGATGCTTGATCTTCTTATTGAACGCCTTGATCATGCGTTTCTGATACATCTGACTGTGACAGACAACCACAAGCTTTTTCTCGTCAACCAGATTCAACTGGATCTGATGGTGACGATTGAGGAGGTGCATGGCATGCGCGATGGATTGCTTGTACTGGATCTGTAATAAATAAACATGAAAAATAAAAATGTCACACGCCTGGATTTAACTCAGGATCAGGCGTATGAAAGACTTAAGAGCAAGCGCGCTGCCACTGGGGTGGCATGTACATTCGGTAATACAAACGCAAACAATTAATTATATAATAAAAACAAATTAAATTTTGAATTTTAAAATAAAAGTCAAACAACTGGACCCCTTGTATCTGGTATTAGCTAATCAACATAAGAGAGAGAGAGAGTGCTATAATTTTTTACTGCCAATCAGATGATCTAAATCTGCCACACCTACCACCGGCCAGTCCACGCCACCGTGGGTGGCTGAAACAACCGTCTTCTCCAACGGGTTGTTTTTGAAACCTGCAAATTTGAAATATTTGAGGCCAACCAAGAGGCCTACCCTACATAAATTCGTGCCCTGAGTTCAAATCTGGGCTTAAAACACACAAATCATTACTGAATCATGTGATTCGAAGGTGAATTCAAATCGTGCCCTAACAATGGCACATCTTTGTTTCTGCCTCAAACCCTACATGTGATACGTTAGATCTGTTCTAAACACCAATAACAATATGAATGTACACATAAAATTGATTTAAATCACATGATTAAAGAGTTTAAAATCAAGAACCTTTACCAAATCGGTGGGATTGTATGAAGGGGTTCTGGAATGCATTGAGCTTGAGCAATGATATGAATCGCCTCCTGGAGTCTTCAGGAAGGTAATGTGATACTCTACACTGCTTGGGAATGACTGGAAGTAAGGGTTTCAAATTGTTTTGATTTTAAGAATTTTTGAAAACTTTAGGGCTGTTCTTTGGGCATGTTAGCGTGTGTATGCATCTGACATGTTTGTCCTTTTATAGAGAAGGGAAATAATTCACTAAAGATGTCAAGGAATCATGCCATCAAGCCATGATTAAACACGAATCAAACACTTTGAAAACTTGCCATTTTTGAGATATTATTGCCTTCTTAAATCCTTGCACGAATTTGGCAAGTTCTAACAGGCTAGCATGAGTTGTATTGGGCTTTAAGAAAGTCCATCATGTGCTTGGCCCAAAGATTTTCTAATTTATTTATTTATTTTGAAATTATTTGAATAAAAACAAAATAAATATAAATAAAATAATAATAAAACACAAGTCAAGATATAAGTTAGCTTAGAAGTATCTCATAAGGCCATGGACATGTTTGAAACTCAAAAAGTTAGGTCACAAGTCCAAAATTTCATGTTTGCACATTTTGCATTTCATGTATTTCTTCAAAATTTTACAACTTGTACAACTCATAACTTGCTCAATTTTCATCTTTTGAAGGTGATCTTTGACTTTTTGAAAATCTCAAGATGTCCTTTACAATTACCCTTCTAATCAATTTCGCATTTGGAGACTTTATCTTGATGTAAGTTGCCTTGACAAAAAGTGTCTTTTTGTTGACTTTTGAAAATGACCTGTAATATATTAGCTCGTATCTGTCAAATGAAGTATTTTTGGACTTGAGCATAAATACAAAGTTGTAGAGAATTGAAGTCTCTTGAAAATGGGCTTTGGTTGGAGAAAAGTTGATGAAGCATGTGAAAGTTATGCTTGGTCAAAGTTCAGTTGACTTCTCCTAAGGAAACCCTAATTTTGCAACTTTTGACTTTTGATGATTTGAGGGTTCTCCTTGAAGAATCATGATCAAACCTTGATCAAATGATGAATATCACTTCAAAATGTTGATGTTGACTAAAAATCTTGAAGTTTGACTGTATATTGACCATAATTAACTTTTTACCTAATACAGTTGATTTTCCATCATTTGAGCCATTGACTGAGCAAACTTGTGATGTAGGACTTGAAACTTGACATGAATATTGTTTAAGACCTATGGAGAACCATGGAAATCACTTGAGAACCTTGAAATCCAATCTTCCTTGAGAAACTCAAAACCCTAGTTGTAGACCCATTGCTTAGGAGGAGCATTTTGACTGGTCAACCCTTGAGTAACTTTGAGTACTTGAGACCTTTATGAGCATGTCTTGAAGAAAGGTGGGAGGGAAAATTTTGGGGTACAACAACAGCCAATATCATATTCAAAGGCAAGGTATTTCAGATGTTTTTCTTGCCAAAGAACAAGCTTCCCAATTGGACTTAGAAATGGCTCTAAAAATGGAGGAAATTTTCTGGCATGAGAAATTTTCTTGTGTTGATAACGATTTAATTGATGAGGTAATTCCACAGTTGATCAACGAGCAAACTAATACTCTTCTTACCATCCTACCCAGTCCTGAGGAAATACGAAATTCCGTTTTTGTTTTAAATAAAGAGGTTGCTCCTAGTCCTGATGGGCTTGGAGGGTTCTTTCTTCATCATTACTGGGAAATTTTAAAGTCTGATGTAATTAAGGTTGTGCTACAATTTTTCAATTCCAGATGGATTCTATCCAACTAGAATGTTAACTCTATGATTCTAATTCCTAAGTGACATAATGCCTTCCAAGTGGACCATTACTGGCCCATAACCATATCAAACTTCAAGGTTAAGATTATCTCCAAGATAATTGCTGACAGACTTTCTTTAATCATGCCTAATCTCATCTCCCCTGAACAAAGAGGCTTCATAAAAGAGAGATCCATAGCTGACTGCATCTGTCTCACCTCTGAAGTCATCAATATGCTTCATCTCAAATCCTTTGGTGGCAACATTGTAGTTAAGATTGACATTAAAAAAAGCTTTTGACACTCTTGACTGGGATTTCTTTCTAAAGGTTTTGTCCAAATTTGGCTTTTCTAAGAAATTATGTTCTTGGATCTAAACCATCCTGATTTCAGCAAAAATATCTATCTCCATTAATGGCTCTCAGTCTGGGTATTTTGGTTGCAAAAGAGGGGTCAGGCAAGGTGATCCTCTCCCCCCTCTCCTCTTCTGCCTAGCCAAAGATGTTCTGAGTAGGGCCATCTTTAATCTTGTGGAACAAGGCAAATTAGATATCATTAAAGGTCCTAAAGGCTCTAGTTTTCCTTATCATGCTTTGTATGCAGATGATGTCATGTTGTTCTACAAAGCGAAAAACTCAAACATAAAAAACCTTAAAGCTTTGTTTCTTAGATATGTTGAGTGCTCAGGTCAATATGTTAATCCTCACAAATCTATTATCTATGCTGGTTCTATATCTCCCATGAGATCTTCCTATCTGGCTAGTTCTATTGGATTTTCTGAAGGCTCTCTTCCTTTCCAATACCTTGGAGTTCCAATTTTTAAAGGGAAGCCTAAGGTTATCCATCTTCATCCCATTGTAGATAGAATCAAAGAAAAGCTCGCAACTTGGAAAGCATCCTTGCTTTCTATGGCAGGAAGAGTCCAAATTATCAAAAGTATAATACATGGAATTCTAACCTACAATTTACTCATTTACTCATGGCCTGCTAGCCCCATTAAAGACCCAGAGAAGTGCATGATAAATTTTTTTTGGATTGGGGACTCAAGTAAGAGGAAACTAATTACTGTAGCCTGGCATAAAGTTTGTACACCTCAGTCTGAAGGAGGGCTTGGAACCAGATCTTTGTTTAAAATCCATGAGGCGGCTAAATTGAAACTTTGTTGGGAACTCCTAACTTCGGATAGACAGTGGGCAAATTTTCTTAGATTAAGGGTCATGAGGAACAAAATTCCTATTAAATACCATATTTTCTCTTCTATTTGGTTAGGCATTAAGAACCAGTTTCAGAAAATAGTTGATAATTCAACCTGGAATCTTGGCCAGGGTAACACTATTAATTTCTGGACTGATCAATGGTGTGGTAAACCCCTAGTAGAGCAACTTCAGATTCAACATCACAACCAGCCCTTCTCAAAGGTTGCAGACTTCATTCTTAATGGCCATTGGAATTTCCCACCTGACCTGTTACTCCTTTTCCCAAGCATACCAGACATTATCAACAAAATCTGCATTCCTTTGGAACCTAAGGAGGATGAACTAAGATGGAATCACTCTTCTGATGGAAACCTTACCCTTAAAGATGCTTACTAATTCCAATCTCCTACAGGTCAAAATATTAGCTGGGCTAAGTTGATTTGGAACAACAGTATCCCACCTTCTAGCTCCTTATTTATATGGAAATTAATTCAAAATACGGTTCCTACAGATGACATTCTTTCTAGTAAAGGAATTTACCTATACCCTTTAAAATGCTGCCTCTGTGGTCTCTCTTCAAAAACTTCATATCACCTCTTCTTTCAATGCAGCTTTACTAAGAAAATATGGAATTGGCTTGGAAGCATGTTTCAGGTTGCTCTGCATCTGAATCTTAATGACATATGGGATGCCTTCCAAATTTCAGTGTCAAAACAAAGTAAGTTAACAATTATAGCGGCAATTATCGGTACTTTCAATATAGTCTGGAGATGCAGAAATCAAAAGAAATTCAATAACATAGAAACTCATTGGAAAAGGACTATAAATATGATAGTCTCTAGCACTTACATCTCAGGTAACTTCAGGAAGGAAACCGCTCACAACTGCATTACTGACTTCAGAATTTTGAAAGCTTTCAAAATCTCTTTTCAATCTCCCATGGCCCCTAATATTATTGAAGTTCTCTAGAATCCCCTTCCTCTTGGTTGGATAAAATGCAACACGGACGACGCATCTCTTGGTGCCCCTGGTCTTGCTGCTTCTGGAGGCATCTTCAGAGACAATTCTTCTAATCTTTTAGGCTACTTTACAGAGAATCTCGGTCAGACTTTTGCTCTTCATGCTGAGTTCTGCGAAGTTATGAAAGTCATTGAAATTGCCTTTGATAAGAACTAGAAAAACATTTGGGTAGAGACTGACTCAAAGCTAGTATCTTTAGCTCTTAACAATCCAAACATAGTGCCCTAGCAACTCAAGAACATATGGTTGAATTGTATGCACAAAACAAATCATCTGGCTTTCATTTTGTCTCATACGTTTAGAGAAGGGAACCACTGTGCAGACAAATTAGCCTCATTAGGTCTTTTCATTCATGGCTATGTTTGGTGGAATGATACTCTTTTATCTATTATTAGAGATTTGGTTCAAAATAGATTGAGTAGACCTTGTTTTAGCTTTTGCTAAGTTTTGAGGGTTTGGTTTGCCCCCCTCCTTTTGTTTCTTTTGCTCTTTTTCCTTTTAATATATTTTGAGTTTTAAAAAAGAAACTTAATCAAAAATCATACTATTTATTTTATAAAAAAAAATTACATTTTATTATCAATTCAACTACACTTCAACCAGATATTCTGATTGAATCAAAATTTGAAGATCTCATAATTCTCATCACTCCAATCACCAATCTAATATTTCTAGCATTTTTTCTAAACAATGTTTAGAGTTACATAAACCTAATCCAATTGTTTATTTTAGAAGGGGCTCCTTTTTATCTTCCCATTTGTTCAACCTCTGGACTGATGCTTCCACCTACAAAAAAAAAAATTATTAGAAATTATTAACAACACTCCAATTTCCTGCAGTGTAATCATGGAAATAAAATTATTTTCCATTGTTTATTTAAAAAAGATTATTTTCCTTTGTTTTTTACCTCCTTCTTCCAATCAGTTCTAAATGTGACCCACATGAGAATAATTGTCTGCATAGTAGTTCCACCAAGCATCCCTAGCCATATTCCCTGTTACAAATATTTCATGTCGTTTAAGAATCTTATAATTGAAATAAAATCCAATATCTTATTATAGTATGAAATAAAAAAGATTTACCTTAGCACCAAAATCGAAATAAAAGCCTAGAATTGCACCCAATGGTATACCAACTATATAATAACAACCCACATTCACATAAGCAACAAAAGCTTGCCATCCACAACCAACAGCAACACCTAACATTCCATTCATGTAAAACTAATTAGTTGCTAATTAAAAGGTTAATAAATAAACAAACAAAATTATAACTAATTATGTAATTAAATTTTCACCAGATAAAACAGGTTGAATGCCGTTGAGAACAAGAGAAACAGCGAGAAGTGGACAAAGATCTGAGACAGCGGCTGCCACGGCTTCACCCTCGGTGAAAACATAGCTAATAACATCACGTAATACAACCACAACTATTGCTGAGATTATTGATACTAAAAATGATATCAATGTCACCACTTTCACCGAAAATGAAGCTGATCTTGGATTTCTTGCTCCTAGTTCGTTGCTCACCCTCACACTGCACATACTTAGACATCAGACATGACACTGATACGTACGCATACACGTTCATGTACACACTTGATATGCCCAAATATCAGACATGATACTGATACGTACACGCACACGATTATGTACACACTCGACATGTCTAAATATCAGACATGACATTGATATGTATGCAGACACATTCATGTAGACACTCGGCATACTCAAATATTAGACATTGACACTATACAAATTCATGTATACACTCATTGATAATAGTTTTACAAATTAAATAAATAGAATCAAACCTTGCAGCGGCGTTGAATCCAACCGAGATCATGAACACCCATCCAAGAATTGTGGTACTGCAATGAAAACGGTCATAATAAATTGATCCAAAATAGTCTATTTTCTTTGTTTTATTATTTTATTATTTTGGCATAATGCATATATATTCATATATAATAAAATTTATATAGAAATAGAAAGCAAACTGAATATTTTAGAAGAAGTTGAGTAACTTTACCAAATAGAAAGTGAATCAAGAGCCAATTCAGGCTCAGGAAGAAGGCCAGCAAGCAAAACAAGAATCTGAAAATACCAAGACTCAAGACACAGCATAACAGCCGAAGCCGCGGACAGTTTAAAAAACTCGGGCAACCCGGAAAACGCCTCCAAAGTAAACCCATTCCACGTCTTCTTACACTTGTCACTCTTCACAATATAAACAAACTGCGCAACAACTATAATCCACCACGACAAACTCAAAACCAAAGAAGCTCCCAACAATCCCAACCCAACCTTAAAAACAACCACCCAACTCAGTACAAGATGAACCACTAATGTTCCTCCTGAAATGTATGCGCTTGGAAGAACTATACTCTGTGCTTGAAGAAACTTGGAAATTGGGAAGTTTACTGCATAAGCGAATATTTGTGGGATAAGTCCGTAGACGAAAAGCGCGGCGGCAGAAGAGATTCTTGGTGATTGTCCTATGGCTATTAGAATTGGTTTGCTTAAGATGTAAATAACCGTTAGGAATAAACCGGTTATTGTTAGAAGAATTGTTGATCTTTGTAGATATGTTCCAAGCATTTCATACTTTTCTGCTCCATAGGCTTGTCCACATAGAGTTTCAACTGCACTTCCCATACCCAACTGTAACAAAATTTATTATTAATAATACAATAGTTAATTATCAAATTTAATAATATTAATAATTATGTTAATTATAATTAAAATTTGTCTACAACGTGTCACATCAAAATAGCACGCTTTAATCAATCGTTAATTGATTTAGTGGTGATTGATATTGAGATTCAATCTCTATAATTACGGTCGGAAAGAAATTGAAATTACTTAGATAGTGAAAAAAAAAAAACAAATAACGTACTTTAAATAGAAGTAAAAAATAAATTAAAAAGTTAAATATATTTTATTGAAATTTCAAATAAAATATATTTAATTTTTAAATATTTTAAATTCTATTTTTGTTTATTTTTGACATTATCCTATAATAACAACAATGATTAATAATATTAATAATAATAATATAAAATATCAAATGTCATAATATTACTATTTAATTTTAATTAGTTTTAATTAAAATTATAAAATAATGATTAGAAAAATGACTACAGTCTGAACTGGCACATTAAAGTAGGATAATTTTTTTTTATCGACAAAGTAGGATAATATATGAGGAACTAAAATATAGATAAGAATGAATCAAAAGTTAAATGTATTTTGCCTAAATTTCAAAAAGAAAAAAAAGAAAAAGAAAAAGCATTTGACATTTTATTTATTTTTTATATTTGACTTTATTTAAAAGTTCTAGAATGATATGATAAAATTTATTTCATCTTAATCATATATCATTTGCTTTCAAAGAATACTCAATTCATATTAAATAAAGTTAAATGCATTTTGCCTAAATTTCAAAACAAAAAATATATATGACTTTTTATTTATTTTTTAGTTTGTCTTTATTTAAAATTCACAAATGATAAATTAATTACTTCCAAAAAATACTCAATTCATATTAAATTAAATAAAAATCTCACCAAGAAAATAGAGTGGTATTATTTAAACACCTATAAATTAACTTATTCCAACACTACATAAAAAATATTTCTTTTACAACTAATAAATTAACATTAAAAAAGAGAGAAAATAATAATTAAAAAATGAAAATACATATAACGTGTTGGACTTAAAGTAAGGTCAACATAACATTTCTCAAGATAATTTTAAGATTGCCTGATGCAAAAGACTATATTTAATCATGATTTTATGTGTAAAAGTGTGAATCATCATGCTAATTTAAAATCATGATTTTAAATAATGATTTGCAATATGGAAAAAAATATTTTGATATTATAAAAGTTGCAACACAATCTCAATATTGAAGTTTCATCATCACAGTTTATCATAATTTTCTACAATATCAAGAGTCACATGCAACACAAATTGTTAAACTTGATGGAATAAAAAGAATAATAAAAATTTAATTTAACTCTTAAAATTTACGAATAAGAATGAAGTGAAATAAAATATAATATAATCATTTTCATTTGATTCATCTAATTAAAAAACTTTATAATGAAAAATAATCAAACAAGTTAATTTTATCATGCTTCATTCCACTAAACTTGTTCTAATCCATCGATTTAACCCTAATCTAAATATTAAAAGCAGTGAAGTGAGGTGGATTCTTACCATGAGGCCATAAGCAAATATCTGAATACCGGTGTTCCCCAGCGAAGCGGCGGCGAGCTCAAGGTTACCAAGGTGGCCGGAGAAGATTTGTGTGGACATAGACATAACATAGTTGATCAAATAAACAAACACAGCTGGAGCGGCTAAGAAGAA